TTAATGGAAGATTCAAGCTAAATTGTTTTCAACAGGATATCTTTTGTGATTCTCTTTTTTAGAAACTCTGTAACTTTCCAGTTCACTGCCACTTGTTTGGACCCTGAACCGGGGAGTCTGTACTTGAGTGGGCCTGAGCTCAGCTAATTAAATTCCAAGTTTATCAATTTGGCTGCTTAGTGTTCCTAAGGGCCCAGGGATGCCAGGAGGCAGCCTCCCCACATCTGGGGCTGCATCCCATGACCCAGGGCGGGGTCCAGGTCCAGTTGTGTTGAGAGAAGACAGGTGGCCAGGCCTTGGCATTCACCCTGTGGTGCCGCAGAGCAGATTGGCATGCAATGCGAGAGTTCGGGGGTGGGGTCTCTGGGAGAAGCTGCCGGCCTGCCGTTTTGGGTTCACAGCGTGCAACCCAGAGCAGTATTAAAGGGACTTGGCAGGGCAGAAGTTCCCTGTGCTCCTGGAATCTCACCCCTTAGTGGGGCGCCTTGGCTTTGGCTCCCCCCACCCCAGTGCTTCTGCTCTGGAAGCCAGTGAGGGCGAGTCACGCAGAGAGTTCAGACTGCCCTGCTGGGAGGTCCCATCTTTGGGGTGCTGTCCCGTCCGTACCAGTGCAATTCATCAGAGGGCATCCACTGCCCAGTATCACCTTACAGAGCGCAGTCCTGTGGAAGATCAGAAGAGTAGCGCCAAGACCTGTAGCTCCAGGGCCTCACCAGAATACTTATAAAAGAGCGTCGGCGGCGCACACCTGTTATTCCTGCCCTAGGGAGGCTGAGGCAGGAGGATCTCCAAATTGGGGTGGTTAGCAATTTAGCAAGATGCTGACTCCAAAGGAAAACCTAAAAAGGGCCACAGAATCTGCCACAAGAAGGCCCCGTGGTTCAAAGTCAGTTCTGATGTAGGCCATCTGTTCTCGTTTTTGTTATTTTAGATCAAAAACAAATTTTTTGTGATGGGGCTTTGACATGTTGCCCAGACTGGCCTCGAACTCCTGGGCCCAAGAAATCCTCTAGCTTCAGCCTCCAAGTAGCTGGAATTTCTAGCATGCACTATCATATGTGTGCTTTGTCCACTTTTTATTTTTAAACCATATTTATTTACTGTGGAGCTGGGGATTGAACCTGCAGGTGCTCTGCCACTGAGCCTCAACTCTAGTCTCCTCTTTTGTCTTTGCTTTTATCTTTTTATTTATTTATTTATTTTTTGGTACCAGGGAATGAACTCATGACCTCACGCTTGCCAGGCAGTCACTTAAACCACTGAGCTAAATCCCCAGCCCTTGTTTGTTTATCTTTATAAGTTTTTTTTTTTTAAACTTTTTATTGGTACCGGGGTCGAACTCACAACCGCCTGCTTGCAAGGCAGGTGCTTATGCCGCTGAGCTAAATCCCCAGCCCCGTTTGTTTATCTTTAGACAAGATCTCGCTATATACTGTTCCCAAACCCACTATGTGGCCTAGGTTGGCTTTGAATCCGAGGCCATCCTCCTGCCTTTGCCTCCCGAGTGAGTGCTGGGATTGCAGGTGTGCAATAACACGTCCTGATCTAGCCCTTTTTAGGTTTTTCTTTGGAGACAGCGTCGTGCTAAATTGCCCAGGCTGGACTCCAATTTGGAGATCCTCCTGCCTCAGCCTCCCTGGGTGCAGGAATAACGGGTGTAGGCCACCCATGCACTTTTGTAAGTATTCTGGTGAGGCCCCTGGAGCGGCGGTTGTACGCGCTACTCTTCGGATCCTGCGCAGGACTGCGCGCTGGGTGATAGCCTCCCGGGGGATACGCCCGGTCCTGGCCCCGCCCCCGCTCCGTGTCCCCATTTTCCCTCACCTGGTCCCACTTTCCTCTGCCACCCGCGTACCCGCCCGCTCCCTGGCCTTCCGCGCTCCGACCCCGCCCCTCTCTACCCACCCCCTGGGCTGGCTCACGGTCCAGGGCGCCGGCTCCGCCCGCCCTTGTCCAGTTTTGCCGCGGGCGCTGCGTGCTGCCCAGCCCCTCCTCGGCAGCACAGCCCTGCCTGGCGGAGGTCGCGCGTCGGTCCGCAGAGGAGCCGCGGCAGCGCAGGCTGCCCCCTTGTGTCGGGGACCCCCAGGACCGTACGGAGCCTGCCACCGCCCGGCCTGCTGCGACCAGCGCGCTCAGTGAGGGCCTGGCCCGGAGTGGCCGGCGAGGTGGCATCCCGGGCCCTCCGCCGCTGCCCACCGGGGCTGCGGGGAAGACGCCCTCCCCGGCCCGGGACTCCCGAGCGACGTGCCTCGTGGGCGAGACCTGTCCGGGTTCGGGACCTGCAGAAGAGGCTCCCGGCGCCCTGGAGCGGGCGGCTCCCCGCGCAGATGTTCCTCATCACAGCAGCACTCCACATCTGGCCGGGGTTTCCCACGGCGGCGGGGCTGGACAGGGCAGGGAGGAACAGAGGGTCGTGCCCCACGAGGGCCTTTCCTCGAGAGGCCCCTGGTCCCCTAGGCTGCAGAGCCCACACGTGGGCCCCTCGCACCGGTGCGCGCACCACCCAGCCACCCCGACGCGTGTGACAAGGCTCCAGGCGCTGTCCAGCGGGCTGCTTGGAGGAGGGGCCGCCCCGTCCTCCATCCCTAGGCCTCCTGCTCTCAGGGTGTCTTGGCCTGCGTCCAGGAGGTGAGGCTGGGGAAAGGACGAAGCCGCCCCCCACCCAGAGTCAGCACCAGAGGGCGCTGCGCCCTGCCAGGTGGAGCCTGGAGCTAAAGGGTTGAGGGCCAAGACAAAAAAAAAAAAAAAAAAAAAAAAAAAAAAAAAAAACAAACAAGAAAGAAAGAAAGAAAGAAAAAGCGAGCTGGGGATTTTAGCTCAGCGGCATAAGCACCTTCCTTGCAAGCAGGCGGTCGTGAGTTCGATCCCCGGTACCGATAAAAATGAAAAAGAAAAAAAAATATTGAGGGCCGAGACTCCTCCCATACAACTTCTCAAAGCTCCCTGCTTGTCGCAGCTCAAGCTCAGGACCCAGCTGTCACCCTGCCCACTCTAGGTGTGATTGATTGTTTGACTGTACTGGGGATCGAACTCACAACCTTGCACTTGCACAGCTGAGCTAAATTCCCAGCCCTCTAAGTAGGTTCTTTTTAGTATCTTTCCTTCTATGCTGCCTCACTGGGCTACCCTGATGGATGGATGGGTAGTGGCTGGGCCCACCTCCTGGGTGAGACTCAGGACCCCTGGAAAGCTCCCTCTGCAGGCCTCTTAGGGATGCACAGCCCTTTCCCGTCAGTCTACCCTTAGGATGCTAACAGCCCACATTTATTGAACTCCTGCTCTGTTCCATTTGACCACACTGCTCCCCTTTTTAGTTTTTTAATAAATGGGGGGGGTCTGTTTTAGGTGCAGTGGCACAACTCTGTAATCCCAGCACTTGGGAAGATGAGGCAGGAGGGTCACCAGAAGCTCCAGGCCAGCCTGGGCTACATGGTGAGTTCCACATGTGTGTGCGTGTGCATGTGCATGTGCGTGTGCGTGTGCGTGTGTGTGTGTGTGTGTTTTGTTTTGAGACAGGTTTTTGTTATGCATTTTGGCTGGCCTTGTACTTATTATGTAGCCTAGGCTGGCCTTGAATTTGTAGTAATCCTCCTACCTTGGTCTCCCAAGTGCTATGATTACTGGTATTGTACTGCAATGCCAAGCCACAAATATACTTTTTTTTCTTTTTAACTTTTTAACTTTTTATCGGTACCAGGGATCGAACTCACAACCACCTGCTTGCAAGGCAAGTGCTTATGCCGCTGAGCTAAATCCCCAGCCCCCACAAATATACTTTTAAAAAATGGGAAATCAAACCCTGGCCTTGTGCATGCTAGACAAGTGCTGCGCCACTGAGCTACATTCCAAGCCCTTTTAATTAATTAACTAGTTTATTTATTTTTAAGAGAAGTTCCAAGCTGGACTTCAATTTGCAATCCTCCTGCCTCAGCTTCTAGGGGAGCTGGGATTACAGGTGGCTGTTACCATGACTGACTCTTCTCATCTCTAGAATGAAATCTGAGATCCTCATCATGGCTAGCAGATCCTGACTGGTGGTTCAGCCTTCTCCTAGCCTGTTAGGCCCTGACCACAATGAGTTCTCTGTTCTCTGTTCTGTTCTTTGAGCAAAGGCTGTTTTTCTACCTTTGGGCCTTTGCACAGGCCTCTTTCTCTGCCTGAAACCATAGTGCAAGCCCTGTTCAGCTCCAAATCCTGCAGCATTTGGCTTGGTAATAAAACATTAGATGGCACAGGCCTCTCTGTCTCTGTCTCTCTGTCTCTGTCTCTCTCTGTCTCTGTCTGTCTCTCTGTTTCTCTGTCTCTCTGTCTCTGTCTCTCTGTCTCTCTCTGTCTCTGTCTCTCTCTGTCTCTCTTGTCTCTCTCTGTCTCTCTCTCTCATCTAAAAAAGGAAGGGTCTGGCTATGTTGCCCAGGTTGGCCTTGAACTCCTGATCCCTTAGCTTTGGCTCCTGAGTAGCTGAATAAATAATTCTAGAATAAATGTAGGGCTGGGGATGTAGCTCAGCTGTGCAAGTGCCCACCTGGGTAGCAAGAGGTTGTGAGTACGATTCCCAGTACCAAAAAAAATCATAGAATAAATGTAAGTGGGGCTTTTCTGTTAACAGATTCAGTCTTTACTGCAGCCAGCTGGGGTAGGCACTGTCCTTACCTCCCTTTCAAGGGAAAGAAAACGGCTGAATCCCAGAGGGAGAAGCCTGCCCCAGACCAGCTCTGCAGCCGTCCAGGAAGGCTGCCCGGAGTTGGCGGTTGGCCTCAGCTGGGCTTGCCCATGTGGGTGTCACAGGTGCAGCCCAAAGAGGCCAACTCTGGAGGCCGTGACAGCCCGCTCTGCGGTCCAGCGCTGAGGGCCCACAGGCAGGACCCCGAGGGTGGACCCCGAGGGTGGACGCGGATCGCAGCGCTCCCGGTAGGCAGCTGGCCGGCGCCCCCAGGGACGCGGCCGGGCGCTCCCACGGCGCCGAGGCAGACATTCCCACGCGGGGGCGGCGGGGACAGCGGCGGGGACGGCGGTGGGGACAGCAGCAGGGCGGGCCTGGGGGCGGGGCCGCGCTGCTCCCTTCGGGGCTGGGTCTGCGCTCCGCACTGTACTCCTGTACTCCGGGAGGGTCGCTCTGCGCTGTCGCCGCCAGCCCGCGAGGTGAGTGGGTGCGTGGACCCGCCGCCCTGGCTCCGGCTCCGACCCCCGGGCCCCGGGCAAACCTGGGCCCCAGCCACAGCAGCGACCCTTTCCTTGGGGGACACGGGGCGCACTCCTTTCCCCAGGTGTAGGCTGCTCCCTCCGCCTCCACCCCCCCCCCCATCGCAGACCCCAGCCTTTCTGCCCAGCTGGGGCTCTGGGTTATCACCTCGTTATCACCCTTGCTGCCGTCTAGTGATGGGTGCTTCTCTGGCTCCCCAGATGTAGGATGTCCTCTCTCCACTTGAGGGGAACTTTTGCCTCCCCGGGAGTGGGATGCCCCCCCCAGGTGGGACCCCGTGGTCTCTGCAGAACTGGGATGCTCCCTCCTCTCTCTAGATGTGGGGATCCCTTTCTCTCTCCGGAAGTGGGATGCCCCCTCCGCTCCCCAGATGTGCTGTCCTCACCCTCCCTCTGACCCAGTTTGGTCCGAGTCCTCTAAAATCACTCCCCACCCCCACGGGATGCCAGACCCTGAGACTTCCCCGGGGGTGGGGGTGGGGCGCAGCCTGTCCCCTCCCTGCCAGCTCCAGCAGGCTCCCTGCACGTAGGCAGCCAATTAGGGGGAGGGGGGCCCCCTGACCATCTGCACAGACCTCTGCAGATGGCCCTGTAGGGGAGAGCTCAGGGCAGCTCGCCCTACCTGGCCTCCCCTCCAGTTTCCCCTGGAGGCAGACTGTAAGTGGGGGGTGAGGGGAGTGGGGGGGTAGGGGTGAGGGTAAGAGGGTGGGGGGATTAGGGAAGGTTTGCCATCCAGTGCAGGCCCAGAACCCAGGCCCCCAACCCCAAACTGCTCAGACCTCACTGTTGTAAGTTAAGCCTCCTTCAATTCTGAAATGGTGCATTGAGGACCCCAAAAGAGAATCCAAATATCTAGGATCCCCATGTCTCCCCCATGGTGCTATCATACCTGGGTGACCTTGAAGCCCTGAGGACCCCCAGCAGTGGGCTCCGTGGGGTATAACTCATTCCCCACCCCAGATGCTCTCCAGAGCCACCTGGAGCTCGGTGCTGAGGAGAGGACCTGGGATTCGGGGGACACACAACCCAGGAGATGCCGGTAAGACCTGGACCCCTTCCCAACCTAACTGCAGACTTAATTCTAAAGGCTTCCTCCAGACCACTCCCTTCCACCCCACTCCTTGGTCCTCAGCCAGGTTTTTCCAAGAGAGGGAGCCCACAGCTGAGCAGACATGGACCCCTTTTCAAGCTTCCCTGTGGCTCGACCCCAAACCTCAGCCCTTGTGCTGATATGGATGGAGGGCACTGAGAGCCTGGCCCCTGCATGCTCCCCTGGTGCCCATGCCAGGCAGGAGACAGGCGAGAGCAGACGTAACTTCAGCCAGACCGCAGCCAAGCTGCGGTGAACATGAGACCTTACGAGAACCTTGTAAGGTGAAGACTGTGCACCCCCAGCTCTCTGATGGACACACTGGACCCCAGACACGGGGAGGAAGGGCCACAACTCTTTGTCTGAGGCAGTTCCAACGCTGTCTCTTAAGGCAGCACCAGTGCCCCCCGGAGGGCCCCTCTGGTGCCAGTGAACAGAAGGACCTGGGCAAGGTCCTCCCTAGTACCCATTTATTCTGGGCATGCCGGGAATTCCTGAGGAGCTCAGGGGCTGACTCATCAGGGAGCTTACAGGAGCAGAGACCACGGTAAAAGCCACCTCAGTGAGCCAGGGTACTTTACTGAGCAGCTACTGTGTGCCAAGCACCCCATGAAGCCTTCTGAGCTCAGTACCCTCGCTGTCCACATGAGGACATTGAGACATGATGAGGTGAAGGACTTGTTGGAGGTGGAGTAGATCAAATAGGGATTCACACCCCACTGGCTGCAAAGCTTTGCCCTTGAGCTCTGAGAAGGCCCATGCAAGTCCAGCACCTCAGTTTCCCACAGCGGTCCTGGCCGGGCATGACCTCTTCGCCTTAGATCTTTCCAGATGACATGGGATCAGAAGCCAGAGGGGCTGAGCCGCAGCCCGGGCCCTGTGCCTTCTTGCTTGGTGAATTCTAGAAGCCACTTACCTGCTCAGCATCACTTGTCTCAGAGTGATGGGGCAGGGGTGAGGCAAACTCTCCCAAAAGCCTTAAACTGGTGCGGCACACGGTCAGTGCCCAGCACTCTACTCCAGGGCGGCAGCCTGGGGGCAGCCTGCACACAGCTCTGTTCCTTGTGTCTGCAGTTGGCGGCCAGGGCAAGATGCCCCCCTATACCAACAACTATGCCCAGCGCTACTATCCCATGCCGGATGAGCCTTTCTGCACGGACCTCAGCCCTGAGCAGCGTGCCCTGAAGGAGAAGGAGAAGGGCAGCTGGACCCAGCTGAGCCACGCCGAGAAGGTGGCCTGTAGGTCTGGATGTGGGGAGAGTGGGTGCATGGGGGCTTTGCAATGAGCAGCCTGGCAGCGTGGGAAAAGGTGGCAGCCAGAGAGCCTCAGACATCCGAACACCCACCTGGGGAGGGAGGTATATCCTTTCATTCTTTTCTTTTTGTTTGTTTTTTTCTTTGGTGATTCTGGGGACTGAACCAAAAACCTTCACACTGAAGTACATTCCCAGCCTATTTTTGTTTTGAGACAGTGTCCCACTAAGTAACTAAGTTGCCTAAGCCGGGCTCAAATGTGGGATCCTCCTGCCTCAGCCACCTAGACCCCTGGCTCCGTTCACTCTTTAATTAACTCAAACTTTGTGCACAGCCTGCAGCTGGGCAATGCTGGGGACAAGAGGCAAACACCAAGTCACAACCTCTGCCCTTGTGGGGCTCCCAGAGCAAGGGGGTAACTAACATAGCCCCCAACCTCTACAGTACAGGATCTGCTGTGCTAAGATGGGCTGTTCACTGGGGTAGGGACCCAAAGGAATACTGGAGGTCTCCAAGAGAGGGAGCTGCTGGCTGGGGACAGCAGGGGACAGTGGTGTCACAGCAGGAGCCTGTGGAGGGTCCTGGAGTCATCTATCGGGGAACACTCCGGCAGCAGAGGTGGGCGGGGAGCAGGGGTCTAAACTTGAGGAGGGCGTGTGGCTCCTGGGCCGCCCACCAGAGCACCCTGGGCCCAGCCTTTGATATGGGTCCTGGTCTGAGTCCACCCCTGGGGGAGCCCAGCCTTGGGGGAGGCGTCTGCTCTTCCTCCCCTCCTCCCACTGTCCTCGCTCCCTCCTCTCCCTGGGCGACTTCCTGAGCACCTACTGCAAGGCCAGGCCCTGGAAGTGAGCCTGGGACCAGCCAGGCCCTGCCCTGGCCCTGGAAACTGCCCCCAGCTCTTTCCCTTCCCCTCACAACCCTCCCCTCCCCTCTGCCTCCCTCTCCCTCCCTCTCCTTTTCTTCCTGTTCAGACACAGCTGGAGCGGGGGAGGCAGGATTTGAACCCCACAGATTGGCAGCAGGGGCCCTCAGCTGCTGCGCTGACATGAGGCCGGCCGGGGTGGGGTAGCACTGGGGCTCAGCGAGTGACCTGCCCGCCTGCCTTCCTCCCCTGGTCCTCCCGTGCTCCCAGCCCCAGTGGACTCCTCCCCAGCCGGCCCCTGGGGTGTCTGGCTGTTCCCTCTCACCATGAGGACTTCTGCTGGAGCTCTGGCTTTGCTTTAGCTGTTCCTCTTCCCGTGTTTGACACAGTGTGAACGGGTGGCACACATCAGGCAATTCAGGACTATAAAAAAGGAGGACAGGGAAAGCAGAGGAAGAAAGTGGTCTCCTTCCCAGCCCCTGGGCTGGGCACCTTTGTTCGTGGGAGAGACGCTGCCTGTCCCCGTGGCTGGCACCTTCACTGAGGACACTGCTGCCTGCCCACCTGCCCACCTGACACTGTGCTCAAGCCTATTTGAGTTACCTGACCGTGACTATACAGGGGGGATGGAAAGAGCCGGTGACCCTTTAAACTAAGACAAAACCAAAAAAGGACTCATTACGGTAAAAGACACGCCGCCAGGAATGACTCTGAGCATGCTGGGCTGGGGGCTAACCGGGGACCCGGCCCGAGTCCTAGGGCTGCCCGCCGCCTCTGCCACATCCACGTGCTCCAGGGACGTCTTCAGGGATCAGGGGAGAGAGGGGGAGAGCAAGGGAAAGAGCTGGGGCAACTTCGGGCCTGGCCTCGCAGTGTGTCCTCCGTAAGACACCCCAGGAACGGACAGATGGATGGACAGGGAGCATTTTGAGGGAACAAGGTCAATGTGTCTTTTATTGTAATACACTCCACAGTTTAAACATTCGCCATTTTTTATGATCATTCTACACTATTGAGACATTCAGGGTAAAATCTTTCAAATGAAGACCTGATGGTGTGTCCTCTTGGGGCCTGATGCCCTGTGACCCGGCTTCCCAGGGTCAAAATGGCCGTGACAGGGAAGGTTTGGCATCAGCTCAGGACCAGGAGGCAGCAGAGGGCGCGACTACACTTCTAAAGAGGACTGTCCAGGGCTGCTTCCAAACGTGGCAAGAACATGGGTGAAGTGTGTTGGGAGAGAGGGGGAGGATTCTGAGGGAGGGTCACGGTAACACGTTTTACTGTACTAAACTGTTCAAAAGTTTTGAGCACTTACTATATTTTTGGCTGTATCTCCTATTTTCACGATTGGTAGAATGTGCTTTTTGTTTTTGTTTTTTTGGGGTTTTTTGGTACTGGGAATTGAACTCACGCTTGCCCAAAGGCAGGCACCTATGCTGCTGAGCTACATCCCCGGCCCAGAATGTGCACATTTTAAAGTAAAAGTGAGTTTTCTTTTTTTTAGTGGTGCTGGGGATTGAACTGAGGACCTTGTGTGTGCAAGACAACAGCTCTACCACTGAGCCAGCCACACGCCCAACACCCAAAATAAAAGGTTTATAAAATTTGGGCTGGGGATTTAGCTCAGTGGCATAAGTGCCTGAGTTTGATCCCTGGTTCCAAAAAAAAATTTATGATTTTAAATATATTTATAGAGAAGAAAGGAGGAGGGAGAGGAAAAGAGAGAGAGAGAGAGAGAGAGAGAGAGAGAGAGAGAGAGAGAAGCCTCCTGTGTGGCACCATTGTTCTGGGTTCTGGGAACACAGCAAGAACAGGGTCCTTGTCCCCTGAAGCTCACAGTCCAGTAGGAAAGACAAGCAGTAATCAGAAAGCAGATAAATAAAACTTCTCTGTGTGAGGGAAGTGGAGGTCAGGAACAGTCCTGATAAAAGTTGCAGTCAAAAGCACGATTTTGTCACTTTCTTGCCTAAAACCCACCCTCCACATCACACAATGAAAGGCCAGCCCCTCCCCCCGGGGCCAGGTCCTGTGTCACCTGGCTGCTGTGACTCCCCTTTTAGCCCACTTCCCCCCAGCCTCGCCCTCCCTGCCCCTCTGCCTTCGGGCCTGGCCTGCGGTCCTCTGACAGCCCTCGTACCCCGCCCACAGCCTGTATCTGCACCGTTTGCCATCGGTGTCCCTTTTGTCCGCTCATCATTGCCGCGACCCAGTTCCTGGTCTCACTTCACAGACAGCAGATGCGCACTAACAATCTGCTAGCCAGCTAGCATCTGTTGCGGGAGGTGGAGGCCAGGATCCCTGGGCCCCTGGGGTGGATACGCCTCAGGCCCCTTCCCACTCCACCTCCTGCAGTGTACCGGATCCAGTTCCGTGAGACCTTCGCAGAGATGAACCGGCGCTCCAATGAGTGGAAGACGGTGACGGGCTGTGTCTTCTTTTTCATGGGAATAACGGCTTTGCTGATTTGGTGGCAGCGGGTCTACGGTGAGTGATCACACCTCACCTGCAACCTGGGTCATGCCCTTGTGGCCACAGCTGCTGGCCATGCTCAGTAGGGAATCCTAGTGGGATTTGAGTTTTAAAAAAACCTCCAGAAAGATGGAGGGTGAAAGACAGAACATAGCTGCCTGGGTTGGAATGCAGGGAGTCTAAGCCTCTCTGAGCCTCAGTTTCCTCATCTGTAAAATGGGAACATTAATACCCACGTCTCAGGGTTCTTGTGAGAAGGCATAGGCCAGTGTTTGGTACATAGTCATGAGCAGTGTTTCGCTGAGTACTGCTTATTAGCCATGTCTTTTTTAGTATACTGCTTCAGTTTTAGTATACTGTTCAGCTGTAACAAGAATTCTTGGGGCTGGGGATTTAGCTCAGCGACATAAGCGCCTGCCTTGCAAGCAGGCAATTGTGAGTTCGATCCCTGGTACCGATAAAAACGAAAAAGACAAAAAAAAAAAAAAAAAAAGAATTCTCCATACAAGAGCTTAAACAAGACAGTTTATTCTTTTCTCATACACATAAAAAAAGCAGCTAAGCAATTCAGACAAGTATTGATATTCCACAAAACAAGCTCCTTCTTTTTCCTCTAAAATGATTCATATTATTATTTTTATTTCCAGGCAGGGTCTCACTATGCAGCTCAGAATGGCCCTGAACTCACTACGTGTCCCAGGCTGGCCTTGAACTAGCAGCAGTCCGGCCTCACCCTTCAGAGTGCTAGAATTACAGGCATGCACCACCATGCCACCTTTTTCTTTTTTTAAAGATGGAAGCCTTGAATTGGTGATCCTCCTGCCTCAGTCTTCTGAGCAGCTAGGATGACAGGCATGTGCCACCTCAAAATAGGTCCTTCAGAACAAAACAAAACACCAGGTCCTCCTGCTACCCTTACTTTGTAGCTTCCATTTTAACATACAAGATGGTTGCTCCAGTGCCCTCTACTTTTTCTCATACCCTATTGGCTGTATATGATCACGTGATCTTGTCTAGCTACAAAGGAAGCTGGGAAATGTAGTCTTTGCTGAAAAGCACATGTTCATTGAGCTTTTATTTCCTCAGGAAGATGAGTCTCAAAATGTCATTCCTGCACAGACATTACCATCTAGGAACTTGTTAGATATGTAGATTCTTAGCCCCATTCTATGTGATTCTTGGGGTGTGGAACCCAGGAAAAATATTTTTCTATCTTTTTTCTTGTTTTGCAATATTGGCAATGGGAATTCAAGAACTGGTGAATGCTAGACAGCTACTCCACTAGTGAGCCATATCCCCAGCCTACGTGTAGTTCTCATTTTAACAGCCTTCTGGCTGATTCTGATGCTCACTCGCATTTGAGAAGTACATTGTGGATAAAGAGGGTGCAAGCTGGGTATGATGGTGCGGGTGTACAGTCCCAGCACTCTCAAAGTCAAGCTCAACTTTGTCTTTGAGACAAGACCTTGTCTCAAAATAAAAGATAAAAAAAGGGACAAAAATGTATCTCAGTGTAAAGACCCTGGGTTCAATTCCCAGTCCAAGGGGGAAAAAAAAAGCACAGGATACTGAGGAAGAGCTGGCAGGTTCAATTGGGTGTCACCTCTAGTGACCTCATCCTTTTTGTTGTTGTTACGGGGGGGGGGGGTGTCAAACTCACTACCATGACCGTGCACTTGCAAAGCAGGCGCTTATGCCACTGAGCCAACTCCCCAGCCCCTGGTGACCTCATCTTGTTTCCTGTGTAAAATGTGACAGAATCTCCAGGTTGCCTAAGGGTGAAATAAGAGAGCTTCCAGAAGCGGCCTCATCAAGCCGTGTCTGGCCCGCAGTAGGTGCCCATAAAAATTGCTCCCTTTGTGCCCTCTGGGGATAGAAGCACCAAGGACAGGGGCCTGGAAAGTTGGGTCAGCCCACGGGCAGGTACCAGGGCAGAAGCGCTGGGAGCTGCAGCCTCCGACCTTCCTGTTCCGTACAGCGGGGCTTCTCAAATCCCTCTGCAAGGGTTCAGCCTCTGGGTTAAGCCGTGCCCTCCCCACATGATTGACTGATTGATTGATTGATTGTACTGGGGATTGAACCCATGGCTGTCACACTGCACTATTTAAAAAATAAATATGTATATCTATAAGACAGGGTCTTGTTAAATCACTGAGTTGTCTAGGCTGTCCTCACATTTGTGCTCCTCCTGCCTCAGCCTCTCACATAGGCTGGGATTACAGGAGTGTGCCATCACACCCTCCTAGATTTATATAGTGACCACCCTGGAGCTGGGCATAGTGGTACACACTTGGAATCCCAGCACAGGGATGGGAGGCTGAGGCAGGCGGATCACTGAGTTGTAGGCAGCCTGAGCTACATAATGAGTTCAAAACCAGCCTGAACTACATAGAGAGAACTTGTTTAGAAAGAAAGAGAAAAGAAAAGAAAAAAGAAATTACCCTGTACCTATCTCCCCATCCCCTATAAAACATAAGGAACTGTCTCACCCAGGACCCTTCCCAGTGAGCAGGATCAAACTCCTAACTACAGCTGAGTGGTAACCTTCAGTGGGTGCTTTGTATCTGTCCAACACTGTGCCAGCAGCTTCACAAATACTCAGATTGGACTGGAAAGATGTCTGGGGCTCAGAGAGGTGAAGCGACCTGCTCAAGGCCACACAGCAAGGGGCTGATGGAGCCAGGACTTAGGTTCACGTAGTCTTCAAGTCTGTGTGTCCTGCTCCGCTGGGCACAGAGGAAGGTGGGCAAGGAAGTTGGGTGCCCTGGGGTGGGACTAGCGGGTCTGCGGCAAAGCCCGCAAGGCTGCACTCCTGGGTGGGCCAGCAAGGGCGCTGCACTCATGTGGGCCTCCCTGCAGTGTTCCCGGAGAAGCCCCACACGCTGACGGACGAGTGGAAGGCCCGGCAGCTCCAGCGCGTCCTGGACATGAAGGGCAACCCGGTGCAGGGCCTGGCCTCGCGCTGGGACTACGAGCGGAAGGAGTGGAGGAAGTGATCCCCTCTTCACGTTTGCGCGCTGGGCCTCCGTCCACTGCACTGCAATAAAGCCGGCCTGTGCCCTTCCGTGTAGCCTGCTTCCGACCGCCCCTGGCGTCTAGATTTAGGATTAAAGGAGGCGAGGAGCAAGAGCAAGTAGCTCGCTCAGGCCAGAGCCCACCTAGTCAGGGAGGCTTCCAGGAGGAGAGGGTCCTCAGGCGGGCCCAGGAAAGGCAGGGCCATCAGACTGGCAATCCTAGCACTCTCGGAGGCTGAGGCAGCATTGCATGTCTGAGCCCAGCCTGGGTAACTTAGCAACTTAGCTTGTCCCAGGTCTGAGGAGCTGGGAACACAGCTCAGTGGCACAAGCACCTGCCTGGCAAGTGCCAGGTTGTGAGTTTGATTCCCTGGTCCAAAAAAAAAACATGTTTGGGGAGACCCTGTGTTGGATCCCCAGTGCAGTAGTGCAGACAACACAAAACACACAGGCACACACACAACCCACACACACAAAAAAGGGAATGCATTCCAGGTGGAGGAGTGGCAAAGCAAGCACCTTCCTTTAGTCAATCAACTAACAGATGTCTACAGAGCAGAGGGCTGGCAACATAGCTCAGCGGCATAGCGCCTGCCTGGCAAGCGTGATGTCCTGAGTATCCATTCCTGATACAAAACAAAACAAAACAAAACAAAACCTGGCTTCTTCATCCAACAAATATTTATAGAGCACCTAAAAATCCTAGGGATGCAGTGGTGAGCAGGGTAAAGCCCTGGGCCTCGTGGAGCAGTGGAGGAGACCTCCCTCTCCAGAGGGAGTCAGCAAAGTGAATGATGGGGTTTTACATGGAAGGAGTGCGAGGAAGAAACAAAGGAAATAGGAAGGGGGGCTGGGAATTTAGCTCAGCGGCATAAGCACCTGCCTTGCAAGTAAGCAGTCGTGAGTTCGATCCCCGGTACTGATAAAAATGAAAAAGACAAAAAAAAAAAAAAAAAAAAAGAAAAAAGAAAGAAACAGGAAGGGTTAGAAGGGGTGGGGGGCGGCAGACAGAGGAGGCTAAGTGAGCTGAGGGAACATCCAAGACAGAAAAGGGGGTTGGCATTGAGTGTAGTGGTCACCCACTTGACGTGCGTGTACCAGATCCTGGTTCTCATCGCTTGCCTGGAAAAAGAAAGCAAGTGCAAAGCCCCTGAGGTAAGTTTTGTGGTGCTGTGTGTTGAAGCAGGGCCTTTGCCCCGAACTACATCCTCAGTGGTGAATGCTCAGCCAGGAGCATTTTGAATTTTAAGACAGGGTCTTGCTAAGTTGCTAAATTTCCCAGGCCGAGCTCAAATTCATTGTGCTCCTGGCTCAGCCTCCCTGAGTTTTCTAAAAAGTGAGCTCTAGGGCTGGGGATTTAGCTTAGCAGCATAAGCGCCTGCCTGGCAAGCGCAAGGTCATGAGTTCAGTCTCTGGTGGTGGTGGTGGGGAGATTAAAGGTGTGCTCTAACGGGTCCCCCAGGGGAGTCCCCAAGGAAGGGCGACCCTGGAAACCTCGGGTCCAGACCTCGCAGGAGGTGTGGTTGCAGCCCACTTGCCTGGGCCCACCCCTGTCGGTCACAGTCCTTGGGCACCCGGACACTGCAGTCAGGCGGCCAAGGCTGAGCCTGCGACTGGGGGGCCGGGGGGGGGGGTGGCCGGATCTGAGGCTGGCCGCATCCCCACCTCCAGGACAGCCTGCAGGTTCTGATAGATGTGCACGGCTGGGCGCTTGGCTGGGGACATCACCACTAGATGGCCTCATACACACTGCTAACCAGTCGCAAAGGAGGAGCAACAAACAGGCACGCACGCACGCACTCCCACACCCGGAGACGCCCTGGCTTCTATGTCACCCCATTACCGCCCTCTACTGTCGAAGATCAGGATCTCATGCAGAGGAGGTGGCTCCAGGACGTCTGTCGGAAGGGCGGCGGCTCAGCATCCTTGAGGAAGAGGAAGACTTGGCAGGGCCCATGGGGAGCCCGCTGCATGCAGTGCTCCCTGGAGGAGTCCTGCGCTGGCTGGCAGCGCCCCAGCCCTCGCAAGGGCGCGTGGCCTTTGGCTGGAGCAGTCCCAGGGTCCCGAGGTTGCAGGAGCCTGTAGCAGGTCTGAAAGTGGGGCAGCTGGAAGGTCCTAGGACTACTCCTGGAGGACAGATCTGAGTGCCACGCCTCTAAGGACACCCCAGATGCCAAAGGGAGGGTTTAGCAGAGTAGTCATAATATTCATTCAATCAACAAATATTTATATACGTTCACCATGTTCCAGCTCTGAGGACAAAATGAGTGAGACCTCGTGGATTCTAGTCAGCAAATCGGGAATGGGAAAAGAGACAGGAAATCAGTCACCCTAATGAATGACAGCACGAGTGAGTGTAAGAGGAGGAGGTGCGAGATACTTGGACTGACAAGAAAGCGTCCATGTTCCGAAAGGTGATCGGGCGTGGGTTGGATAGTTGGGGATTTAGCTTGGCAGCACAAGCACCTGTCTGGCAAATGTGAGGCTGTGAGTTCGATCTCCTGTACCAAAAGGAAAAGCAAGCAAGCAAGCTTCTTCCTGAACTGTGAATGATGACAGGGTGTAAATCAGACGACACAGCGTTGTAGGTAGGGAGAAAATGGTGTGCAGAGGCCCTGTGGTAGTGAGGGCCATGGCACGAAGGAGGAAATACGGGGAGCCAGTGAGGATCCTGCAGAAGACACGGAAGAGAAGGACCAAGGGAGGGGAGGAGGGAGGGTCACACAGAGCCCTGGAGACCCAGCTGTCTCTGCTTAAGAGTTTGGAGAAAAGCAGGGAAACCTGCCTGGGGGGCCTTGGGAACAAGCTATGGGAAGCCTTGAACGTCAATCTAATATATCTCAGAAGGCAATTTTCTTGGTCCCAGGCTTCTTCTTTATCTGGTGTGAGATAACCTTTTTTATGTTTGAGATAGTTTGGCTAAATTGCCTTGTATTCATGATCCTCCTGCCTCAGCTTCCCACACATGGGATGACAGATGTGTCGTACTATGTCTAAAATCCATTTATTAATCATTGCCTTGAGTTGAGAGATCCAGAAGATTCGGGCAGTCGGCAGATAGGGGGTCTACTTTCCAAGGCCCCTAGCCTGTTCGGTGGACATAGAGTCAAAAGTTGATGGTACACGAGCTTTAGAAGTGTTTCCGAATAACCAGGCACCATGCTATTCACCCATAATCCCAGCTACTTGGGAGGCTGAGGCAGGCGGATTCACGTTCGAGGCCAGCCTAGACAATTTATTTTATTTTCAAAATAAAAAAGGGGCTGGGGATGTGTCTCAGTGGAGGAGCACCTGGGGGTTTAAGGCCCAGCACTGCCCGAGGTGGTGGTGGTGGGGCTGCCAGAGAGGAGAAAAGAAGAGAGGAAACTTTGAGTGGTATGCTTGAGCCTCAATGTCTTAACCCGGATACTTTGGTAGCAGTAGTGTTAAATGTGCAGCACACTGGGCTGGCGATCTAACTCAGCAGCACAGTGCCTGCCTGAAGAGCTGGATTGAGATAGTGAGTTTGATCCCCGGTACCAAAAACGAACAAACAAAAACAAATAAGCACACTACCATTGAGCTACGACATGGCCCAGTGCAACTCACTTAGATGAACAGATTACTAAGGAACCATGTTGTGGCTGACACTGTGTGTTCGTGTGCTTGGCACTGAACCCAGGGCCTTCCCACTGAGCTAGGTCCTCAACACTTTAAAACAATGAGATAGGGATCCACTAAATCACTAAGTCTGCTAGATTAGGCTTAGGGTAGTGAATCCTCCTGTCTCGGTCTCCAGAGAGCTGAGATTACAGGTATATGTCACCACACCTGTCGTGTCACCTCTTTTAAAAGGTTCTATCTCCAAATAAGACACATTCGGAGGTTAGGACGCCACACATGAACTGGGCTAGGGACACAATTCAGCCAAAAGCTGGGCTCAGGTTGTGGTCCTGAAGTCCCCCAGCCAGCTTGCCTTTTCCTGCTTTCCAGCTTTGTGACGCTTGCAGGAGTGTAGCTCTGCAGGCACGAGGACAAAGTCCGTGTCCATCTTCCTGGGTCTTTGAATCTAGCTCCCTCCCATCGCTCACCTCCGTCTCATTGCTGAAGAAATGGAGGAAGCGGGTTGTTGTCTGGAGGTGCCCCCAGTCTGCATTTTGGGGGCCGACTTCCCAGCAATCGATCACTGTGTCCCTTGGTCCCTTGTACTTTCTATAAATGCTGCTTACACTCAGCAGCATGGCCAGATGCACATTTATTTTTGGTGTGCGCGTGCAGCGTGCCATCTCCTCTTCCAGGAGGCCCAGGGTGCCTGGCGGTCTGTGTGTACCATCAGCGGCTCTCATTGGTTACTGTGTGGCTTCATTAACTTATTAGGAGGACAGATGGCTTTCAAACACATGAGAAGATGCCAACCTCGATTAGAATTTTAAAAACGAAATTTTAAAGTATGAGCGCTATTTTTTTCATCTACCAGATTGACAGAGATCAAAGAGTGTAACACTCATGTTGGCAAGCACACCAGAGACAGGCAGCTCCGCGGGATGCCAGACTTGATGCAGATGACAAATCTGCGTACTCTTGGCCAGCGATAGCACTTCGAGGAATTCATCCTGCAGATACACAGGCAGGTGTGCACAAAGATGGCTACATAAGGTTGTTTGTTGTTACGTTGTTTGGATAAGCAAAAGTCGTGAACATCAAACTGTTTCTCTCTCAAGCGAGGCTGCCCAGCTGGTGTGTTACAAACCTGGCATGAGTTGTGGCAGACGTGTTGGTGGCCCAGCCGTGTGTCCCTGGCACACCTTCAGCGGTCATGCAGATTTGGTGGAGATTTCTCCTTCAAGGGCACAGACTCGTGTCTCTCTGACCTCCACACAGGGAAGGCAGGATGAGTACAGTGATGAGGAGAAATCCTCAGAGCAGCTCTCAACCCAAGAGCAATGGCATTGGTGGCTGAGAGCCCAGGCATTCTTGTCCTGCAGGGTTACAGCTGCGATGAGCATTCCCTGGTCTTTCAAGAACACCTCTAAGGTGAGCCCATTGCTTGAAGTGGCAGCTTATATATCACATCCTG